GGGCTGCCAGAAACGCCCAATGGAAAGTTGAGTATCGAGATCCCAGCGGGGTAAGGCGCCTTGAAAAAACGCCACTGGTTGCGGTGACTTCCCGCCAACCGATTGAGAGCTGCTCCTGCTGCCCTATCAGAAGCGCCGATGACAAGAGTCGTCGGTGCGCTGATGCCAGGATGCTTTAGAGTCGTAGCCCATGCTAAGGCCATTCGCCACCTATCGATGGCTTCCACAGGCCCCACAGAGGGTTTTAATTCCTTAGGGCTTCCCCTTAAGTTATCATTTAGGGGTTGCATGAGCTGTTCACGCCATGGCATTAGTCTACTACAAAAACTAGTGAGACCAGGGAAGCTTCTTAGTCACATCATCGAGGTGAGTGCTAGGTACTGCTTAATAGTATCAACCTCTTTTGTCAGTGGCGATGTGTCTTCTCTGTTAATCATTTTTCCTAGAAATTCCATGGTCTCCACTCTGAAAACACGCCCAACTCGATTTATCACCACGCCTCTGTCCTCTGGTCTTCTTAAAACAGCTCGTATGCGATTCCTGTGTGAGTGCATGACTCTAGAAAATTGTGGTTTGAATCCCAGACCATGGGCCATAATCTTTTGCCGAAGCGTCACAGTTAGTGCTCCATTAACCGTCTGCAGCGTAACTAGGGGCGTCTGATGTACGAGCTTGACCTTGTTTCTGAAAAGGATACTGAGAGCAGCTCCCATATCCACTGGGAAATCTGTGCTAGAATTACTGTCTGTGACATAGAATAAGTAATGGTTCGGGCACCCCTCCACAGTAGTCACAGCCTGAAAAATGACCGTTCGCTTCCCTGTTTCAAGTGAGATTGATTAAGCCAGGCGCATGGCTCGACACATCCTCCGGACTGTTTGTAAACTTCTAATGATACCTACAAGGTTGCCTGGAATGCCGAGACTTTCTAGATCTTCTTAGTTGTCAGCGACTTTGTCTATTTAGCGGCTTTCCTTTTTTGCTTTTACTTAGTTGCGCTCGAGTCACAGCCTCCGTTAATGCTTCTACGTAGTTCACTAATTCCATAGTGATAGGATCCTCAGTTAAGCTGTGCCTGCTAGCACAATGTATTGTACGAACATCCCGTGGTGTACCTCTCTTCATGACGCAGTCTGGTATGCACGCCAATTCTGAAAGTATGCTGTTCGGATCCCATGCGCCAAAATGATGTCGGATATGATGGGGGGGCGCATGAATCCAACCGTCATTAGGAGGCACTTCTCCGTTAGCACCACTGCTTAACATATTTAGCAAATGTCTCAAAGACTGCTATGGTGACCTGTCTCCTAGCATTTCCCTTGTAACAGCCATTGGATGTGTTGGCTGCCTGACACTGACAAACAGCCAACTATCACATACTTGGGCGTCTTATACAGTCGCACTTCTGAGGTAGCACAAAGTCGCGAACATCTTTAATAAGGGAGAGGGTAGGAATGAAGCATAGGTCATTGTGCCGTAGATCCCCGGAATTTATACTGTGACGATCGAAGAAATGCTGTAGTCTGGCGAAACATAATCCCAGGCTTGGCCTACTAAGTTTGGTAGTAGCCGCCAGTGTTTCGACCTCCGTCGGAACTGACTCCTAGAACGTTGCAGTCAGTGTGAATGTGACTAGACATTGATATTTCTTTCAACCGCGTGAATATTTGTAGGGCAGTAATATTAATATATATACTTCTAAAGAAGGCCTAAAAGGCCTCATCGGGTTCATACGTCCAGCTAACCAACACTGGTCCCGAGCTTGTAGCTGGCGCAAAGAATGACTTACTGTGGAGAACTACCAAGTTTAAACAGGGCAGCAGTGATGGTATTATAACGCGCTTGTTGTAGGCACTCTTTTGATTAGGTCATATAGGTTAATTAGAGCAAGCAAATTAAAAGTTATTCATGGTTCGGTAAGGGTCACTGATGAATATCAAGATCATAAAGGATAGGGAAGGTGTGAATTTATTATGGCGTTCTCAGTGGATTACAACCACCGTTTGTTCGGAATTCTTCTGATTAGGTTAGGGGAGATTTTCTATAAACTTGCAGTGTACAAAGATTAGAAACGTTCTTCCTCTTCATGGCTGCATCGAACAGCACCTGTGAGATTTAATTTTGCAGGCAAATTAACGGTGGGCAGATTCTCTTACCCCTGTGGATCCGAGTTAAGCAGCAGTGTTCATCGCCGCAAGTGACTTATTGCAGGTCGGAAATTCTCCAGGCGGCGCCCCAACAGACTCTCGGTGTTTGATGAACTGTCGGCAAGAATCTGTCAGATTACGAGTCAAGTAAAGTTATTTCCGGGCGGCTGGTTTCCGATATTAGTGAAGGATCATAACTTTGTTTGCTAGTGAACACAGTTCTGTCATAAAAGTTGTCCCCGGGGCTCTGTGAGCCAAGATTGAGGTGTAAAAACATTCCGAATGCCTAGTTAATTCGAGGCTTACAAGCCCGAAGGGTTTTTGTGCCCTCATGCTCAAAGTGAGGTAGATACCAATAAAGCTATACAAAATTTTCATTTATGGGGTACTGAAGCGTTTATGATGCCTACCGGGGGCACCCAAATACGGTTTCAATAGCCAGAACAAAGTAAAAAAGTCAAACAAAAGAATCTGTTTTGATGATTACTGTAGAAACCATAATTATATGGACCACTTCTTAAGGTTCATACGGCTATGTGTGCTGAAGGATAGAAACCCGGCAAGGTTGTCTGGTTTAAATGACAACCATCATCAGAGGGTTGCGATCCACCTCATGCATTTTCTTATACCATCAGCAGGAGGAATTTTAAAAGGCTTTGTAAAAGTCATCAGGTATGGATGCTAAAAATTTGATTGAATTCTTTCGTCATGACTTTTAGTCCGTCAGGTTGAAAATGGTTGAAGTGTTACACATACATTTGATGCTTTCTGCACGAAATTTGCACACTTTTTCACCTGTAGCTATACGCCGAGTACCATTTGGAAGGCTCCTCCAGCTATACACCTTCCCCTGAATAAGCATGAACTGGGTTCTATGTAGAATGTTTCGTTATTGCGAATTGGTAACGACGCGGATTAATCATTACTTGACGACATCCGTTGATGGTCTGTGGTGGTCCAATAAGCTAATTCAAGTGACAAACTTCGATATACTGTATAAAGTGAGCATCCAGTTTGAGATTTCGGAGTGCCTCAGGTTTGTACAACTTTACTGTCTTCTTGTTGCGAGCCCACAGACAGATAACCCATTTCATGTGCGTGAAAATTCAGAGTCACAAGGAAGACTGCAACTTCTGTACAACTACTGGTGTGGTCCAAAACAAACCTACAACTACTCAAATATTTTTTCAGTGCATGTGATCTAATGAAAAACTGTGTGTAAAATAGTCCTTCGTAACTCAGATTATCAGGGCCGGATGAAAACTAAACGGTCTGATGCGTCAAAATTCTGAGTCTTTAGCTAGTTTTAAAATGCTGGTTAGCGCTGGGATAGTTGGTATGGGCACCAATATCGGTAGTGAGTGCATCCTTAGTTGCTGAGACTTCAAAGTATTCCCGAGTATACGAAAGGTAAGTAACGGCGATATTTTTTGCATGAAGGTGGTGTACTGGATAAGATTTAGACTTATTACAGTTCGCTTACTTATGAATAAACCTTAAACATAGTATTATTGCTTGTCCTTTGGGTTCCTAGTGGAACATAGGGCTTCAGTAGTACGCCTCCCTTTCACTCTGTTCTCTGCAGTCTTTTTAACCTAATTCTATGACCGACCAGAAGCTCTCATTTCTTCCTCACACCATCTCCTCCATGTCAACCTCACCTGGGATACCCAACTCGTCGTTTCCCATGCGGGTTCCACTCGACGACCTGTCCCGGTGCGTGATGTCCCCGAATGGTCTCCTCAGTGTATTCCCGACCCAATCCATCTCCACCTTCTTCTGCTTATTTGTTGAGTGATAGGTTCTTGGTTGGTTCACTCCCAGAGCTTTTTGTTGCTTATTCTTTCTAACCATCTGGTTTTCAGTATCGAGCAAGCGCAGGTGGCAGCTGTTGATGGATGTCCGTAGTTTGTTGGAAATGCTTTTCGTAACTTGCCAAGTCTCTCAACCATCACACACAAGCACTGACTTACTTGACTCGAAAATCCGGATCTTTTTCACGCTTTATGCAGAACTGAGTGAGGTAGATCTTTATGCTGATTTGAGAGGTCTGTCTTGCTGTCTTTCTGATCCTGGCATTGGCGTCCTCCTCTGTGCCGCCGCTGCCGCCTGTAGTTGAGATGATGCTGCCTGTCTAGGCAGGTGAAGGAGACAACTTCCACTAGATTTTTCCCGCTGACGGTGATTAGCGCTTGTTGTTGTTATTGGTTGGGTATCTTCACCACCTCTGTCCCCTCTACGTCCACCTGAAGGAAGTGCCGTCTTCGCTGTCTCTTCTGCCAAGTTGTTAATTTCCACCTGCAGACCCTTGACTTTGTGTGACATTAGACAAAAATCATGACCGGCGAAATCCAAATCTGCTAGGGTCTTTTCACCTGTCCAGCCAGTGTATGCCCCTCTTTTCGCTCCTCATGGTTACTAGCATGATCCAGTCCAACCGAGTCGGCTACAATCAGGAAGATGATTGGTGATAGTAGGCGTCAGTCTTGTCTTACTCCCGCCTCCGCTTCAATTACATCAGTGGGTTTTCTCATTGTGAATCCCTTAGCATTTAGCATCATATAGGATTTAGCTGTTGAATGAGTCTGATAAAGGTTTTTGTCGCTAAAATCGTAGTGTTGAGGCAGCAGCTGCCAAATTACTTCTCAGTTGACGCTGTCAAAGGCCTTTTCAAAATCGACGAAGCTGAGGTAAGAAGTTGACAACTTATACATGGTGGTGGGATATAGTCCCATATTACTTTTTTTATACGACAGACCACACGGAGCTACAGTATTATGTTCTGGATGAAGAGTAACTCAGCAAGCGAATACGAATTACCACATGCAAATCTAGCCGAAATAGATTTTGGAGATGGCAGAATTTGGTAAGAATGCCGCTCCCCTACCATTCCCTATGTCACTGAGTGATCATACACGCAATCTGGTATGTTTTCACGTAGCTTATGCTGCATGAAATAAATATATGTTGCTAAAGCATCACAATTGCTGCTACTTTTTATTCACCGATTGCTTCACTGTTTGTAGACATGAAACTCGAACCATGAGAAAACGTTTAATCACTTCTCAGAACCAAGCCCCAGCAACTTACTTGAAAGCTGAAAAGTCATCGGTTTCCCATATTCCCACAAGTGATGCTAGGTGTTCGGAATCTTTTTAGAGTACGCGTTATGGACGGTCTAGCAAAAGAAGTAGCTAGACCAGCTGTTGACACTTTCTAGCCAGTGCCGAGAAATTACGTACGCATATGCGGCCTGCCAGAAAAATTCGTCGCAGGGTTTTTAAAGCCATGCATATTCTTCCTCCTGCTCCCTTACCATGAAAGGGTACACATAAAGACAAGAATCACACTTTCGAAACCCAACTAACTGTCTAGTTTCGATTTTCCCACCACGTTATCCTCTGGTTGTGAATTATTACCGTTCATCTATCGCCTCTTATTATTGGATGCAGGTACATTATTTGTACTTGCTAAATCCCCTGCTGACGTTTTCTTTCTTTCTCCCTTCCAGATTCTTGTGCTGGCTGAGTGGACTGCTCCACCAAATTTAATCACACTGTTTGGCAAGCCCCTCCACAACAACGTACTTAAATGGTAGACGAAGGTCTATCGACGGTTGATCGTCACACATAGATCTCATCAGCAGCTACTCTGTTCCTCCAAACAATCCAGCATATTAATTTGCTAAAGAATACCCTCAGCTAGATAATCCCTGACTCCAAAACTATTGACAGATATACTAGAAATGTTATGTGACCGCCATAAAAGCGTAACTGGACAAAAAGGACAGGTCCTAAAGAGTTTAAAACTACTAGCTTTCCCTATCGACACTATCGCCGTTGGATGTCGAGTGGTCTTATTGTAGCGCATTTATTTAGGCGGCTTTATTGAGTCTCGAAGTAAGATTGGTGTGTTTTCCTAGCATAGCTGTTGGTATGTTTTCACGACACACATAACATTCTTGGAATTATTTTATTTTGGATACTACTGAAGCATTCACTGCCTTAGTAAGGCTTCTTCAGCAGTTGACGGTTCTGCACAGTGATGTTGTTAGCACAAGTATATACCAGGTTGAATCAAAGTCTAGTCAGTGATCGCGACACAAGTGTTACTGAGTCATTGACAGATTCTGTTCTGAAAGTAGTTATCCGCCTGAGGCAGTATCTCACTAATGCTTTTAAGAACTGGTCAACCTTTCGAAGAATATATATTCCAGCCCTTCTTCCCTCATCAAACACTTCAAGACCACTCTTGTATATGTATGAAACAGTTAAAAGTAAAGAATATTCAGTCTTCCACGGTTCATTTTTTAACGCTATTTGAAATTAATGGCTTGTAAAAAAAATTGGTTCATGTGTAATTGGTGATTTTTTCCCCAAGTGATATGAAGATGGGAGAGAAATTCCATTCAGTTTTTAAGGTCTGAAAACCAACCATCAGATTAAAAGACTTCCACAGCAAATTTATTGAGACGTCTACATCCAGCTGAAAGTTGGTTTTTGAAAGTATCTGAGTTCCTAGGTTTTAATCTACATTCAGAATAACATTTCTGCATCTTGGAAATTTTGTTTTTGCAGGTGACCGAAAGGCCAATGAAGTGTTATGATTGCGTCAGCCCTTAAAAATGCGGTAAAAATTTCTCCGAGTGTTTTCCAAAGTCTATTTGGTTTGTTATTGCAGCGTGATGGTGAAGGTTACCGTTAGTTTTAGAGAGGCTTGCTTCTTATAACCTCTAACGACTTTCTCTTAGAACGTGAAAGTATGACTATTTGGTGAAATTTTGACTTAGGGGTTCTGGGTTTATAACCGCATCCTCATCTACTTCCGCATGGAAAAGCGAGTAGTATCGTTAGCTTTCACACAGGCTTTGATCATAGCGTAGTACTCTATTTGCATCCCAATATGAGTGGTGAGTAGCATGTTTAAGAGTTACTGTAACATGACATTCAAAGCTTAATAGTGGACGAAATGTCTTTTATGAGTTTCTAATCGTGTAAATACTCCTACATAGTACATCGGTGTTAAGTTTCGGCTTTGCAAGATATTTCTTTGTCACAAATGTTAACGTGTACAAAATTCTCTTTACCTGCCATCCAGGTGTTGTAATCCGGTGCGTTAAGAGACGCAATATTCGAACTCCCTTGGCCGCCCCAGTAGCTATCGTATAGTGGTTCTGACTTTATTACACAAAAATAGATACTCAATTGTGAGACTTATGCAGGAATACAAACTTGTTGTTCTTGGAAGTGGAGGTGTTGGGAAAAGTGCTTTGACCGTACAATTTGTCCAAGGAATATTTGTGGAAAAATATGATCCAACCATAGAGGATAGTTACAGAAAACAAATTCAAGTTGATGACAAACAGTGCATGTTAGAAATTCTTGATACGGCTGGCACGGTAAGTATGATATTTCATGCATTCTCAGTTGAGTATTTTCATGTTTTTTTGTAATGTTTTATCTTCCACTAAAAATCCATGACTCCGGAAATTCATAGATATGTTGGACCACCTCGGATGGCGGATTGTGTATGCCTTCAAATTTAGAACCCATACGTAACAAACCACCTGGACTTACAGCCAGTTAACATAGGACCTGGTCCAAGTTTCTACGTCTTAAATCAACACGTCAAGATACAAAGCATGATGAAAGACGAAAACGGAGTAAAATGTATTTAATATCGTAGAAAGGAAGAAAGTAAAGCGAATACAGAAATATGATGTGACGATGGAGATAAGCTTAATGCCATCACCATCAGTTTCAACATGGGACCAGATGCTACTGCGTAACGGTCCAAGTTGCTAAACCTCATATCAACACAACAAGTAACAAAGTAGTAAAGTGAAAGATACACAAAGAAAAAAACGATACAAAGCAATAAGAGAGAGGAAGGAGTAGTATGTCTTATTAAATCGGTGAAAACCTTTGGAGCACCATAATGTTAATTCATTTCATTTGGTGGATTCTTTTGAATTGATTCAACCTAAAATAATATACGTATGGAGTTACATGAAAAGAGTAGTACAAACTTTCATCATTTCGATAGGTGATGTGGATATTATTATCAAGTAATCGATACAGAGGTGAATTAGTGACATTGTCCAGCACTTCAATAAGGTTGGCTATTTAGAAAAGAAAGGTTGGTCAAGGTAATGAGATACATTTGCAAAAGGGGGTTAATGAATTAATTGAGGGAATAAGACTAGAAATTTCTCGGTTGATATTCTTACGCTATCCTTTATTTTTTCTAGCTCTGCAGCTTCCGACAGCGACCTGGGTTCAAAGAACAGTATCATCGGTTTCCTGAAACCGCGCTCCAAATTACACATTGGAGCTTTCAATGTCCGCACCCTCCGTCAAATCGACCAACAAACTTTATTAGCCAAAACTAACAACTCGGGCCATGGACTTGTGCTGTGTTTGTGCGATACGCACACAAGACCCAAGTGTGGTTAATCACCTAAGCTCACGCGGTCAACTGGGTGAATACGCATAATTTACTCCTAGTTTCTGGAGACTCAATGGTCAGTCCTCACCGCCTTGCGGGTGCAAGTACAAGACCGAGGACTAAGGCAGACAGTTTTGTACTCAACTGGATCCCAGTTGGCTGTCGCTTATGCGCTGTTCGGCTGGATGGGACAGTAAGGATAAAAAAGAACGATGAGACTTGCCGTTGTCTGTTTATGATCTCTGCTTACGCACCCACTGACTGCAGCTCGGATGAATTGAATAATAAGTCCTACTGTTGGCTGTCTAGCCTACTGAAAACTATATGTTCAGATGTGGTTGTCATAGTGGGTGGTTCCAATCCACAACTGGATAGGCTCATACAGAACGGTAATTAGGTGGCACTTAAGGAATCCCAGCCGAACAAACAGATAGCGGCGATTGCCTAGTACAACTATGCTCAGATAACCATTTCTTTGTAGCCAGCACAAACTTCAGACATGTAGACATTGTCTGACTTGGTGTCCACCAACCTTAACTCATCAGTGGACACAGACCATTTCTCTGGAACGGCCTGGCGGGAGACTGCCTCTCCTTTTGGAGCATGTGTTTGGGTAGTGGTCACTCTCTCATTCTAGCATACGTTTATTTGCACCTAAATAGATTCAGGAAACTACAGACAGCAACAAGAAAGTGCAGCTCGACAATGCAAATACAGAGGTTCGTTGCAGTGACAAGCTGGAACAGAACAAATCACCCGAAAGAAAGCCGGCACCGTCTTCAGTGCAATGCCAAGATAGCGTAAAGTACTGTAATCGACCCTCAAGTATTCGGTTACTAGCTGTTCGGTTAAGTCCCGAAAAGGAACAACAAAATAGGCTCTTAAACTCTTTCAGAAGTTAAAAAGGCTGTAAGTAACCCCGATGTGAAGTGCTTCAGGTTTTGACGGGCAAATATCAGCTGTATTGAAAGGTAAGGGGTTGTCGAGGGTGATTAATTAGATGGACCACGTTGGCTGGCGTATGGAAGTCAGATATGACCCCCTCGGGCTGGTCTCAACAACTGGTTGTCCTGGTCTTCAAAAAAGGAAAGAAATCCTCATGCGATAACCACAGGGGAATCAGTCTGTAGAACGTAGTGTCAGCGATCCTAGACTCTGTAATCATCAAACGCTTTATTAAGACTCTGCAGCAGCAAACTCAGGAAATCCAGGCAGGTTTCAGACCTGGTCATACGTGTATTGACCGAATCCTCACTCCCCACCAGACTTTCGAACACAGATACACCTACCGACACCAGCTGTATTCTTTGACCTGAAGGAGGCGTTTGACTGACTTGACCAGGAGATCTTATGGCAGTGTCTCTCACTGAAGCGGGTATGGGGTGATTACATCACTGTCAAAGGCTCTGTATTGGAGCACCTGTCGACACGTTAAAGTTTATGGTGATGTCTGTCGATGATGTCTACTCTCTCCACTCTTATTTAATTTTGGCATTGGCGTGGTTATGGAGACCTTTCCTCGTCTGACTTTTCCGAGATGGACGTTGTAACAGAAGACTCATTGATAGACTTAGAATTCTCAGATGTCATAGTCTTGCTAGGTGAAGATGTTGGCAAAGTGCAGAGTCCTGTGGACATCTTGAGTAGCGATTTGGGAATGTTTGTGATACGTTTCTCACCACATGAATGTAAACTGTTGTTCAAAGACTGGTGTGTATGTGTGTATGTGTCTCGTGTAATGCTTGAGCGCATTGACCACTTCACTTATTTGTGACGTCATATCAACCGTTTGAGTCAGTGGTCGACGAAATCTCTGTATGGACAGCACGGGCTCTCTTAGTTTTTGCCAGCCTACACCTATGGCACCGGAGTGGTATCCGATTGCCTACTAAGGAGGATGAAGAGCACTGCACTGCAGTTTGCTTTGTTCTTCTCTATAGCTGTTAAGCTGAACCAATAAAGGTGAGGGGGGATGGAAAGGCATTGGTTGTTCGATCACCATTCCCTTTGTAGCATAGTTCGTGTGTTGGTTAACTACCAGGTCAGTAAGGCATAAGCTAGGGGGGGGGAGAGGTGAGTCAGTTGATGAGATTGTGAAGCTTCATTGACTCCGTTGGGTGGGAAATGTGTTGTACATGCCTAGTCACTGTCTACTCCATCGTGCAATATTGGGTGAAGTAGGTTTAGACTAGAAAAGGGTTAGAGGCGACCAGACTAAATGACGGCATCAGTTCACTATGTCTGAGTCATGTAGGGAAATGTAGAGTTATTGGTTGGGGTTCGTGTGACATCCCTAACCGGGTGTTGTGGCTCGAAATCTATCTCGCGCGTACACGCATCCACGGATTATCTTAATGTTTATGTGAGATTATGTTATTGTTTCATCCGTTCCTCTTCTCTTGTGCTGACTTTGTACCATTTTTGACTAGTTTCTTCCTTATTTCTGTTTCATCAGTGGGCTTTCTGTCTTGATGTGCTGATGTGAGGTGTAGCATTGTAGACCGGTACTCAGTGATGCCTAGTTTCATGTTGATGCTGACTGTTTCTAAATACCACTATGTCGTGTACTGCGATAACGATTTAGTTTTCTTTTGAGCTAGAACATGGAGAGCTCGTTGGGTACTTCAATATTTGTTCGGATGCCTACAGAATGACGCGTACGCAATCGTAGAAATCAACAGTAATAGCTAATGGATTGGATTTAGAAACAATGATACTATTTGGTGGTTACTTTTATTTCACCCACCTGGATGCTTACCGAATTCTATTAATCATTTTGCTGTGTAGTTACTGAGCTGGGACTCTCTGCATCACCAGAAAGCCCGGCTGAGATTTTATATTGTAAATTCACCAGGGCAGATCTGACTTCTTAAGTGATGTAAACAACCCGCTCAACCACTCCAGTGATTATTGTCAGGTGATGTATTGATGCAGGTCAGTTCTGTTACAAACAAATTGTGTTTGATTGGTGAGAAACGCATTTTAAGCATTTTCAGTGTTTAGAAGACTGTCTTATTTCGGCATTTTTTCGTAACAGGACTGTCGTCTGCTTCGGATCAAGCGCCTACTTTAATTTATTTCTGTAGTTTGAAGAAGTAATTGGTCATGAAGGACCACCTTCATTTAGCGCTTAAGGTAGTGTTTTATCTCCAACAGGTGGGTCGATTGATGTCTTCGGTGATCACGAAAGTTAGCGGTAATTCCCCCACTGCGTTATCACTTGGAACAGTGGTATTTTTGTGATGAATATTAGGTTGTATCCTGATTGGAATATGAAGTCATAGTTTAGTGTTGAGTGTGCTCCGCTTTCGACCAATGGGTTTGGGTGAATTGTAAGTGGCACTGTTAGCTGTCGCGAAATAAGTGTAATTGAAGTTAATCATTAGTAGACTGCATTACTCATTAGAGCTGCTAGCTGTACTTTTTACCCAGTATACCAGTTATCACACTAATCCGTCATTGTTTTGTGATATAGCCACATTCTCTTGTTTTTTCTTAAATTTTTATTACCAGTGTGAATTAATCTTTTTGAAATCTGTTCGTACATTAAATTCACATCGATAGGAACAATTCACTGCAATGCGTGATTTATACATGAAGAATGGTCAAGGTTTCGTTTTGTGCTATTCAGTCACATCCCAATCCAGTTTCAATGATCTGATAGATTTGCATCAACAAATTCAACGTGTTAAAGATGTTCCCAATGTTCCTCTTATACTTGTAGGAAATAAATGTGATTTAGAGGAAGAGAGGGTAGTTGGTCGTGACCAAGGTCAGCTGTTAAGTAGGAGGTTAAATTGTACATTTATGGAAGCAAGTGCCAAAGCCAAAATCAATGTTAATGAGGTACGTTTCTTTTTTCATTTGCTGCATACTACTACTGGGTCACGAAAACCTGTTCATGATTCTATTTCCGCAGTTAGATATTGTAGAGCTTTTTCATGTTTATGGGGAATAAATTGTTGTAGAACATTTTCAGCTTAAGAGGATAATTTAGCTGGGAGATTGTTGTATTCTCTGAGCTGAACGTCTTAATCGTGAAGCCCTCATTACCATTATAGAAAATATCATCAGCAAAAACCCCGCAAGGAAGTGATTTAAGGGAAGTTCTCCACAAGGGGCGTAGTAGCTTGTCCTGATGATTCACCTTCTCACATATACTGCTGAAAAAATCTATGCAGCAGTATATATTGATTATTTAGGTTATCGAAGTTGGTTTACGAGAGTTGTGATACTACTTACAGATCGATAACGTTGACATTCTGATATACTGTGGATATTTTAGTTTTTCGCACATACTAGTTCACCAAATCTACTTCAAATTCATATCGATCAAAATCAGAAATGGACGACTGACTTGTTGTTAGTGATAGTGATCCGGAGGTTAACTTTAACGAACACTAATTGTTTGTGCGCGAAAAACTTGAATTGTGGTTAGACCGAAATAAGTTTTGTTACGGTGTAGTACTATACCGGGTCTTTTGTTAATTGTTTGGTTTTTTGAAATAAAAAAATGTATATGTTACAATAGTGGAACAGAATCTCATGCGGAAAGTGAATTTAAAAACTCGTTTGAAACTGAGTTCAGTAGTCGTGCTGAATATTATTGTTATCATTTATTACTTTTTCTGTCAATCAAGTACGCTTGTAATTAGTTTCTGAGTTTTACTTCTATACATCAGCTTCAAAACATTCATTTTGAACTATCTATATTTTCAAAACGATCATTCTAAACATCTTTCTGTATGATCTGAAGTTTTAACTAAACTGATCAAGTATAAATCGAATTCGAAGTGCGCTTAGCAACCTTGTGCGCATTCGTGCAGTAGGTAATGAGCCATACCTGTTGTGTATAGGCTAATGTTACTGTCTGGTTTCCCAAACCTCGGTAGGCGAAGTGAAGTTTGAACTCATGACCCACTGTTTCAAAGTCAGCTCCTTGAACCAATATGCCACAGCTCTACTACCAAGTAGAGTAATTATGGTTTGTTTACAATACAATAAGTTCGGAATGCGTTGAATTTTGAGGCCTTAAGTAAACCCTTTCAATATTACCAGTAGTTAGTATTTAATTGTGATTTTGTTAGTTCTAATAGTGCCCTCTTATTCTGTAAAATTAGACGAGTGTGAGTATTCTATCTCTTATTCATCCTTTTTTGATAGACTTGGAATCTCGTAGAGCAAAATTAAGTGTTTGCGATATCGAACTGAAGTTTAGGCTCATTGCTTTCATTGAAAATGAATTTAAACCATGTTTTTGATCGTCTCAAGTTACTTTGCTTCCACAAGTTCATTTTCATTTTGGTATGCACCACGTAGTTATTATTGATGACTCGTAAGAGATCTTCAAGTGACTGCTATAAAAGCCTTGAGGTACAGTTAAATATTCCAGTCTCTGGAGTTTCACCGTCCCATCAACTGCGTATTTGATTTGCCTCCCACCACACATTTGATTTTGATGTTCGTTTTAGTTTACAAGGTGTTGATGATGAAGCTGTATTCTTCATACGTTTGCTTCCATTGTCTATATTTCATATTTGCGTAGTATCGGATCATGCATAATGGCGTAGAATACCTGAGATCGATAGTCTATCGGTGACCAAATTAGCCGGGACCCGGTCTGTGCGTATTTAAAGATGATTTTGTCTCCGGAATGAATCCAGAACGATTAGATTAAAAACACCTGACATCCACCTTGCATCTATCTGTACAGCCACCAAAGTTCGTCAAATAGGAAATTTTCTAACACTCACTGGTAAGGGATTTAGTTTCTAACGCCTATCTTTACTTGTTGGATGAGCCGTTATCATACTCATGTTGCCCCAGTCACTCCTTTTTCATGTATATGATTGTCATTGTACTATCATGTATAAATGGGTCAGTAGTTTTGCGTCTGATACTTAAATAAATTTCATTTAGAAAGTGATTAATTGAATTTTGCAAGCCAAAATTTCTAGTAGCAACGGCGAACAGTGGTGGTGATTGGCAAAAGTTAAACCGGTAAAAAACGTCATTAGGTCACTATTTACTTCTATTTTTGAAAATATCCCGAAAATGAGGTGATCAGTGGGGTTCACTGACAAATATACATCCTAGAAAAGCTTTCAAAACATGTGATTATAGCATCATACGTGACATTTCAAGAAATCGGTTAGTTTATAAGCAGCTACACTTCATTTGCTCACTATCCGCTTTCAACGTGTATTGAAGTCTGAGTCAATTCTCAAACCTAACGGAGCTAAGACGGCTTTCGTAAATCTTGCGGCACATTTATTGGTACTTATACAGTACCGAAATTGTGTTTAAAATTAGAACAAAATTTTCAGTATTGCACAGTTTATTTGTAGAAGTTTGATGGTCAGGAATCGCTAGTTAGATTATCCTCAGTACTAGCTAAAGTATGGGAACAGGGGGTAGTCCACTCAAGTTGGTCCAAGTATTAGATCGTCCTAGTTTATAAGAAGGAAAAAATTCCTGTGAACTAGCCACAGGGAAATTTTCCTAGTAGGCACTATTACTACTATATTAGGGTCCACAGTCGTTTAGCATATAACGTTACCAAAGACATTCTACTCAAACTGTCGTAACCACATCAGAGCTTGCAAAGAGTTGTCTTCTGGAATGATAAAGATCAAAGATGTAGATTACTAATGTTCACCTTTGTTCCTGTCCCACTTTGTTGTAGATATACAAATATGGAGCTATCGCTCATATGTAGGCAGGTTATAAGTTCCACCTACCGAGGTTTGGATAGTCAGGTAATGTCATTATCTCTCATACAATGAGTGCAGCTCATTGCCTATTACACGAATGTGCGCGTGGTTGCTGACTACATTTTGATTTTTGAAACATGTAAATAAAGTTAACTCCAGGTATATTTATCTAGTACGTGGTTGGCTTCTGGTTCATCTAGAGAGTACAGACGACATAATCCTGCTACTCGAAAAAAAGCTGACAAGTTGCAGCATCTTATCAACGCTCTGAGCAAAAATCTTATATTTTTGACATATGTTTGGCATCCAAATGTAAAATAATGTGACAGGAGTTCTGCACACTGGTACCCAGTTTAGGGATACAAAATGAACCCCCTTGCCGCTTTGGTAATTTGAAAAGTTGCATCAACACCAACGATCTGGTTGTTGATGAGTCTCGGCGTAAATACGAGAGGCTCATTTGTCAGCATACACCACCAGCGATGGTATCAAGACACAGTTGCCGGGCAAAGGAAAAATATACTTATGAACACCTCTTTTCTACTTTACGTCTGTAATGGCGAAGGAAGGTACATGATATAAGAAGCTTCGAACTATTCGATCATGCATCATTTAGAAATGTAGACGGCATGTGGGATTCTCGAAGTTAGCAAAGTCGAAGTTAGATGTGTATTTCGGTTAGAAAAAAGTAAATCAATAGGCGATGTAAATCAAAGCCGACTGAGACGTGTATAATGTACATTGAGCTGCAGCCTGTCATAACTATCGATGCTATATGGATTCGAAATAAATTGGATGAAATCTTAAGATGCCCAATGGAACATGACACAAATTTAAGAAGTCTTTTTTTGGTAGTCTCAGTCGTGTAGACAAGTATGGGTCTCCTGATAGGCATCTATTTGACAACCGAAATCGACGTTTGGAGGTTAAGTACCGATACAACATCGATAGTAGTGTTGCAGAAGCATCCATATCTCATCCGCATCTGGGTATTGAATGCCTTATTATCATATCTCCCTTTTTTTTCTTGCGTCGTTTCTTTGGTTTCATCTCGTTCTGTTGGTTAAAAATTCGGCACTCTGGGTCGATACACAATAATTTCAGGTCTTAATGTTGCTTATATTCTTTTAAAGTAAATTGTCTGAATGCTATGTCTTATTCCATCAATATCCGATTGCTTAATGAATGGAAAAACTGATGGAAATCAGTTTCTTAAAGTATCTACTCATTCACTTGCCTGTTATTTTGCTGAGTCCAGTTAACGCATAATCCCATGAAACTAATTTTACCAATAAACTGAAACGTTTACCCCTACTGCCCGTTAATTTACTTCTAGTTTCCTGATTTCTTACAACTGGCCACTATTTACGGTCATAGTTCATACCATTGGTAGATTTTTTGTTTCAAGAACGTTGAAATTTTACTAGGATTCCTTATATTATATAATTCTGTGGAGAACATTCGACACCAAGTGTAGCGTTCGGCCTCATATATCACAAGGTCCCAACGAGCTATGTTGACTGGAATGATTGTTCCTTGAGGTAATGCTTTACGGGAAAGTTTTTCGGATATTAGTAAGACTAAATTTAGTTGCCGTTATAATGTATATAGCTTACGCTATGAGGGTATCCTAGGGAAAGGTCGTACTGCCTATTGAGTAGGATTTGACTGCAGTAAGGTTTTTTTTCCCCTGTGAATGACTAGCAGTTTATGCTGCCTTCCCTTTGGGAAGGGGAGTTGGAAAAGAAGCTTTAAAAATAGCGCACTCGCTAACCTGTAGTCTTCCGATACCGGTAGTATAGGTTTTTCTAGTTTGCACGTAACATAAATCTAAGTCTAAAACTGCATTTGAAGCACTAATTGACCAGCCTCAGACAAACGTCTGTAGGTTTCTGCTATAACGCATAACAGTTGATAAGGTCACCTTTACTAATCCACTTTTTTTCCACATACTTCAAAGAAGAACTAACCATCCACAGTATGTGAAGCCGGAAAGTGTCAACCACCCTTACACCTCTGTCAGCAATTAAATCTCTTCGGATTGGTGTACACATTCTACACCTTTGCTTTTTATTCTTTTTCCACGTCTCTCTGGTTATGATTCTATGTCATCTTCAGCTTATTCCAGTGGGG